ATATAATTTAATTTAAGTTTAATAATAAAACAATTTATTTTTGGTTTAATATTATAAATTTTATAAAGATAATAATTAAGTATTCTGTTAGAATTTAATGGTTATACTAATTATATTTTGGATTTTTATATTTAAAATGAGATGTTTATCATGTATTTGATTGTGTTTATCTACAGTTGGTAAGAACTGGTCCGAGAGAATGATTAGTCATATTGGGACTGAGACACAGCCCAGACTCCTATGGAATGTAGCAGTGGAATTGTGATGTCTTTCTATGGGATCATGAGTCTCTTGCTTTTGGCATAGTGGGCCTTCAGTAGGGGGCTCACACGACGGGCAAAAAAGAAACGGTAGGTACAGCTAGACCGTGACAAGTCAACCATCACACTGTAGAATAAGATATGTATTTGGATATTTCTCTTGAACTCCGCAATACGAGGAAATGCTTAGCCCATAGGTATGTATTGTTATCCTTCAAGCCGACGAAATTAGTAATATTATCCGTGAAACCCATGGTTATGTATACAAGTTTTGTATAAAGATTTGATGAGAAAATTTGATAGTTACTTTGTAATGTAGCTTTTGTAATTAATGAGGTTAGTTGTATAAATTATATTATTTGATATATGAAAATATATGTTTGGATGCGAATGCGATTTTGAAATGTTACACTAAGTACCGAAAGGATGAATCTATATATGTGTAGAAAAGAGTTGACAATTGTTTAACTTACAATAAAATTGATATTTTAAGGACACGGATTAAAAAATGAAGAGACAAACCGATTATTTTATAGCTTACGTTCCATATGATCTGTCACTTCTTATCTTGGTTACGTTTAATAATTGTTTATGTTTAAGCTGAGATCGCCATAAAACCCCCCACGGTAGAATCCAAAACGGCACATCTCCATTTTGTTTGCGTATCAGAAACAGACGAAAATAACAGCACCAGTGGTTGACCATGGACGGAAAAAGCTCCAGCAACACTGTCGGCAAGCCTATCCGGTGCAGAGGTAAGTAACTTCTTCTTTAGCCTATGCTTCAGAACTCTAAAATTCCATGATCTGGAACTGGAACGAGTTGAAATTTCAGCTGGTCCTCAGCAGTCAGCACATTTGATCGATAAATGCGTTTCACATATTTTGATCTCTATGATTTCTTTGAAGAACTAATGGAGCAGTGTGTTGATGGCAGCTGCAATTGTTAGGAAACCAGGGGAGCCGTTGGTGATAGAGGAAGTGATAGTGGCTCCGCCAAATCCTCGCGAAGTTCGAATCAAAATCATATGCACTTCTCTTTGTCACAGTGATGTTACCTTTTGGAAATTGAAGGTAAAGAAAAACTGATTTCGGATTACATTTTTGGCAATTTTAAATCCATCAAATGTTTTGTTGATGTTAATTAACCAATTTTCTTTTCTGAAGCATCCTCCTGCTATTTTCCCCAGAATACTTGGTCATGAAGCAGTGGGGTAAGGATTATAGTAACCTGCTCATACTAACTGAGTTCCATTTACGAAGGATTATAGTAATCAGTCTTACATTTACTCATACTAGCTGAGTTCCAACTTACAAATAAAAACCTACTCCTGTAGGATGATACTTAACGATTTGTATTTTGAGAGTTCCAAACTAATTGTGAGGCTTCTTTCTTTCTTTTATGGACAAATTTTAACCTAAAATAACATAAGTTTCTATTGTTCTCCTTACAAAACACGGATGATCTTGATTTTGATACATAAGATTCCTCCATTTTGGTCATTATTGGAGTGAATCTTAGACATTTCACATATACAAATTAGTGTTTTAGTGGAAGGAAGAAGTTCAATGGGCTTTTGATGGAATGGAGCCAGTTCTGAAACACTAGAAGGTTTGCCATTATCCTTGGATGCTATGCTTGTGACAAATCTAACGGTAGCATTGACGATACTCTAGAGTTTTAAAGCTCATCTATGTCTGTACCAACTTAAATCTGTTTGCAACTTTCCCTGCCAAACATGATGATATTTGTGGTGTACCAAACCAGTTGCCATCAGCGTAAAAGGTATCTAATCGAGTCTTTTACCCTAGTGGTTGTAGACTTGTGGATTCAAGTCTCGATGCTAACATGATGTATGTGAATTTTCTTTCTTTGACTATGCATTCTCAAACATAAGAAAACAAGGATTTGGGATCCAAACTATCACACATAGATCAGAAAATGTAGCATTTTTGTTGATTTCTGTTGAAAGGTATTTGAGACAGGGGAAATGTAATAAAGCTTATTTGTTGGTCAAACACTAAGTTATAGGTTAATCCCTTTAACTATAATGTCATAAGTCAAAAGGCTTGTATATGATACATTTTTTTTTTGACATATAAAACGCCTGTTGGTTATAGATACTGGAATGGATCTTGTGGCATTACATTATAGATTTTTCGAAAGATTTGCCTTTGTCCCCTGCTGTAACTCTTATATATAGCAAAAATATTACATATTATTGATGATGTCTTTATTATTGATAAATAGATAAAACAAATTACAATCATTCTATTTTGCTGCACAAAAGGGTTGTTGAGAGCGTTGGAGAAGGCGTACATGAAGTTGTTGAAGGCGACACTGTGATCCCAATCTTTTTGCCAGATTGTGGTGAATGTACAGATTGCTTGTCCAAGAAAAGCAACCTATGTACAAAATTGCCTTTCAGTGTTTCTCCTTGGATGGATAGAGATGGGACAAGCAGGTTCACAGACATCAATGGAGAAACTCTATACCATTTCTTGTTTGTATCGAGTTTTAGCGAGTACACGGTGGTTGATATTGCTCATGTAACTAAAATAGATCCAGCAACCCCAGCAAACAGAGCCTGCCTCTTAAGTTGTGGGGTATCGACTGGTAAATTTTCTGATAGTCTTTTACTATTTCCTTTATAACAAAGGACAGTTTGACAACTTCAGTTGAAATTTTCCAGGTAAGATTTGGTAAAGACATTAAGCTTTTAACAAATACTTTCAGGGGTGGGTGCTGCATGGAAAACGGCAAACGTGGAAACTGGAACAACGGTTGCTATATTTGGACTTGGTGCAATTGGGCTGGCGGTATGATTCTGCTCTATTTATATCACAAGTATAAAGATAAGCTTTAGGCCATGCACATAAAGGCTTCAATAAATTTTGTGATTTGACATGATAAACAGCATATACGCATAATTGTAAACGCACGTTATATATAAGTCAATCATGAATGAGTGAAGGCTACGTTACATTTATGGTTTGATATACTTCACAATAAGAAGCTTCATGACATGTATCTTGACGAGAGTATAATGGCCATGATCTTTTTTTACAGGTTGCTGAGGGAGCAAGGCTATGTGGAGCTAAGAGGATCATCGGTGTTGATGTGAATCAGGACAAGTTTGAAATAGGTAATTTCTAATTTGAAAATCTTCATAACAATATGGAATTTTCCATTTATGAGGAGCATATACTCATTAGTGTACGTTGGCTCGTCTAACAATTAGAGCCAAGCAAACAGCCAAGTCCGAGCCGAGCTTGGTCTTGGCATTTTCGTGAGCTGAAATCTTTCAAGCTTAAATTATCTGAGCCTACATAAGTGACTTAAAGTAATTTAACATACTGGTCTTTCCCATATGAACCAAGCGTATACAAGCTGAGCCAAGGTGTGCGCTTTTAGGGAACCAAGCCCCAAGCTTTAGTTTTCCAAGCTCTGCATGCCATGAGCCAATCCCAAGCCTACCAATTTTTTAAGAAGCTCAAAAGCAAGTGTACTGAGTGGAGTGAATTTTACATGCATTTGTTTTACATTGATCTTTTCTTCTATTGACAGGAAAGAAATTTGGAGTCACTGATTTTGTGAACTCCCGTAACTGTGGGGACAAAACTGTGAGCCAGGTAACTAAAACATGCAGTGGGTTCCGAGTTCCGTGGTTATATCTTCATTTTATACCATATGATATACTTGATCAATGAAGCATCATCTTGTGCATAGGCCTGGTCATGTTTAAATCTCTCTACGTAACTTTGTTTTTCTCAATTAGTCGGTAGCCCTTCTGATAACCAAATTTGGTATTTATTCATACTGAATAAAAATCTTCTTGTCCCCAAACTCCATGTCCCTTCCCTGTCCTGCCAATCATGCGTACACATCAATACTTTATTTAGTTCAGCTCTTTTTTTGTCTCTTCAATAAATTAATCACTTGTCTACATCAATCATCATTTGTCTACACATGATTGATGGACAGGGAGGGGATATGAACTTTGAGGATTGACGATCTTTTCCATATTAGAACTATTGCGAGTGTTGACTTGGAAAGATTAGCTTTGTGATGCAGGTGCAGTAGAGACAGAGTCGGACTTGTGTGCAACTGTGTGCAGCAGTAGAACACTTGCAACACAAGTCAAGACCATTATATTCAATAAAGACCGTTAAAATTATGTGATCAAGAAGTTCTGAATTTATTTCTGTCTTTTCTAGAAGATTAGATTTTTCTTAAAAGTTTCCGTATCAAGTTCGGTAATGTAGTTGGTTATTATCTTTTGTTCTTATCTCCTTTTCCTAAAAGGTTAGTTATTTTCCAAGGTTTCCTAAGCAAGTTGGTTTCATCTAGTTTCCTGAGTTTCTAGGATTTTTAGAGGGGTTTGGCTTTGCCTATAAAAGCCCTTTTAAAGCTTTTCTGTAAGAGGTTTAGGATTTAATAGTAAGTTCTGAATTTGAGTGTGCTTAATTTCGTTTCCACTTATCACAAGAGGTGAGGGCCTTTTGTGTGGCGTGTCAACCTTATCCTAAGTGACCCTTAGGTGGCAGTTAGCCCTCAGCGACTTTTTGAAGACCTTAACGACCCTTTAAATGCGAGAGTTTGGTATTGCCCTGTATCATTCGTGCTACTGTAGATTCCATTTGGTTAGACCATTTTATCCATTTTGTGGATCCCATCTTCCTTTCCAAGGAGACCCACTGGTACATCAGCTTCTATCTTCACACTATATAAATGGGACCCATAAAATAAAATGTTGGATGACTTAACACGACTGCTTTTTTGGCACTTTAAACTCAATGCTATTGCTATCTGTTAATTTTGTTTCCTTTCTTTCTTAAATCTACATTCTGGACCAATAAGTGTGGACTCGTTTTTCTGCTGATGAGGAAGTATATGCATCAGTCTAATACAGTTTGCTTCATTTGGAAATTAAGATCTTAATGCAACTTTCATGACATAAAGTCGTTGCTTGAAACAGGTAATAATCGAGATGACTGGTGGGGGTGCAGATTATTGCTTCGAGTGCGTTGGTTTAACCTCCCTGGTGCATGAAGCTTACGCTTCTTGTAGAAAGGTACATACTATCTCTGTCTATTTCTATCTCAATGTCCACACATATCTTGGTCAAATTTTTTGTACCATAAAATCGGAATATTTGGATCGTTCCGTGTTGAAATTAGCTGACACACTCTTCTAGGAATCACTGCTAGGAAACAACAAAAGATTTTATGCCCAACACAGTGAAAGAAACTGAGACAAAGGTTACACAAACATGAAGTGTAAACATGTGTTCATATTGTAAAAGTTGATACATTGAAAATGTTTGGAAAAACATAAACATTAAGAGCCAGGTTAGGATATATATATGGCAATCATCTATGTAACCACTAAAATCGCTATTTTTGTCTTTTCTAGAAGAACGAGTTTGGTTATGGGGAGAAAAGTTTGTGCAATTACCGACATGTTTTTTTGTGTAAAGAAATGTGATGAGGTGTTATCGTATACCTAAAAAACAATCATGTTGCTCAATGTTGTAATTTGAACGTAAAGTCATGAAACTCATTAATAAAAGAAGTCCAATTTATTATGTTTAACCTATATTTTGTGTTACGTTTAAACATAATAATAACCTTAGAATAACCTTATTCTTAAATGTCTCTACTGAAGTACTATAGGACTATGATTAACATATGTAGGGATCCATATTAGCTATACATGTGGTACAAGGTAGGGAACGTCCGTACTAGACCGACCCATTATGAACCATATAAGTACCATAAGTGTTTCTTATGTGGTCCTTCAACTTAGATCATGACGTAACCTTCAACTCCTTTTTATGCATTAATTCAAGTTCATTCATCTCCACCTCTTCTTTTATGCATTAATTCAAGTTCTAACATCTCCAACCCTTTTTTATGCACTAATTCAAGTTCATTCATCTGTAATATGATCTTTAGGGATGGGGGAAGGCAGTTGTCTTGGGAGTTGACCAGCCAGGGGCAATGTTGACCTTCAGTTCTTTTGAGGTACTTCACAGTGGAAAATCTCTCATGGGATCACTTTTTGGCGGTCTCAAACCGAAAACTGACATCCCAATCCTCATAAAACGCTACATGGCTAAGGTAAAGCAGACTCATCTTTCATCGTTTGTCTTCGACTTTTGAGGTCAAACCATCACATATCTATATCTATTTGATATGGATTTTCATCCAAATTGACACAAACGTTTTCTATCCGTGACATCCGTTATAAAGTTCGATTTAAGTGTTTTAAATCCTTTACAAAATTAGAGGAGTTCATACCAAATTGTTGGAAGAAATATTTGTTTCTTTGACCTCCAAAAGTCAAACCATAGATTTTTCGAATGTGTATTATAAACTTATAATATGCTCATTGATCTCTATATTCAGGAACTACAACTTGATGAATTTGTGACGCATGAGGTGGACTTTGAAGACATCAACAAGGCTTTCGACTTGCTTATTGGAGGAAAGAGTTTACGGTGTGTGATTTGGATGAACAAATGATTGTATTTCATTGCAAAAGAGGTTTATTTTTCATCATTGATTGCATCATATGTAGTTAAAGATAACATTTTGAATAATTGTAATCACGTTTCTTTGGTTTCACCGGTATTCGTCTTAATCAATCAAACAGTTATAGGTTTGATGTTGATACCAACATGTGTATCTTCAAAAAGAAGGGAGTATGCGTGATCCTTGAATGCAAGATCTACAATCAAACACCAATGAACCTTCACCAATGTCTATTTTATTCTGGTAAGTTTTTGAGCACTAGAACTCAAATCTCTTGTTTTACGACACTGTGAATGCACTCGATGCACCCGTGAAGTATTCCGTAGTAGAAACAGTATTTTTCTTAGACGAACTGAAATGCCTAAACCGATAGATCCCAGTACTAGCCGAATCGGGTACTTCCCATTCTAGAGTAGCCAATCCACTAGTGCTACTATTATCTACATTCCACTTGAATATCAAGCTGAAGTCGTCGTCATCGTAAGCTGGGACCCACCTCTCACCTTGAAGCTTTTCGACTACGGCATACGTGCCTTCGGTCAATAGGTCGTATCTCGGGTTAGGACTCCAAAACACAGCGCTTGGTTTGTCTCCTTTACCAAAGAAGCCACTTTTTGGTATGGAAACGTCGTGTTTCATGTCACCGAATTTTAAGCCTGGTGGTGGTGAGTCACCTGAAGGGTCGGGTAGGAGCTTCAGTTGGACGGAGGAGAGATCTGGTGGCGATGGGCCTTTGTGGACTATCTTACCCCCTTTTGCCAGTGACTCCGCTAACTTGTTGAATTCTTGAATGTATGCCGGAAGAGTATGAGGACCGTATAGCGTTGAGGCAGCCTGTAATTTTAAACGTCAAACAAACTATTTACCGGCTTCAGAGTTGATTTACATCAACATAAAATTCGATAACTTTTAAACCGAAAACGTATCAAGTTTGACCTTATAAGTCAAAGTATTCATAGATTACCTCGTATCTTTGTTGTTCGTATTCTTCAGGAGTCGCAATGTATTGCGAGTAAGTGTTTGTCAAGCCTGCTATTACGATATGTGTATCGTTGTCAAATTCACCGTTGCCGCTGCTTATGAGCGTTTGCTTCACCGATTCTCGTAGTCTTCGACCCGACATCGTGGTGAACTCTGAAAAAACTCGAAAGCTGTAATTGTCAGGATATTCTACGTCCATAATTTTAGAAATAGAAAAAGAACGAGCAAACCTCCAGGAACCGATAGAATGACTAGTTTCCCGATTCTCAGGATTTGAATCGGAACAATTGCTGGCTGCAATTAGGCGAACGGACTCCGTTAGAAATTTGAAAATCAGAGAAAATCATCCCCGTGTTTACATCACAGAAGAACGGAGATAGAAACTTCAAAGAATAACGCAATGATTTATATATTGAAGTTTCAGAATCAAACAATACCGCCCATGCGTAAGGAAAAAACATCTCTCCAGTGGAGAGCAGAACCGGCTTCGGCTTTTGACATTCAACTTGATAATCGCTCGGTTTTTGCAGAAAATCTCTTACTCGTTTCCAGAACTCGTTAATCTGCAATCAAGAATAGATTTTCGTTATTTCTGTTGCAAATTCCTAGCAAGTAGCAAGCATCGCACTAGTAAATACACTGTTTTGGGAGTGTAATTCTAACCTTTGTATCACCTTGTTGGAACCCAAATGCTCCAGGACCATCCGTAGTTCCGGCAGCAAATCCCGCACCTACAGCTGCTGGACATGTTTTGGCAGTCCGGTTTCCGTCTAACGACACTTCGATGTTCGTGAAGTCTAAGTAAATGTGGCGGTAGTCGATTTTTCCGGTTAACTGTTCATTTGCTGAGGTAAACAACTCAACCGCGTTCATAAATTGTCTCTCTCCGATGATTTTCGTACTCTTTATTTCATCTGGATACCCGTTGTTTGCATGTTTTTGTCAAATTCTTATTGTCCGATGCTATGATCCGTCGCAAAGGCACACTTTGGTGATGATTTCAGTCAGTGACGGAATCGTCTGTTGCAAAAGCAAAAAACCTTTTGCCGCAGTTCAACCAAGTAAAAAAGAGTGATGAATTACCCTGGCCCACGGCCGACACAAAGCTGATCGTTTCCGTGACAAGAGGAGTGATTGAAATCGCAAGGTAAGCCGCTATCGGTACAAAAAGCTCCCAACACATTCGGACTGACGTCTCCCACGTTCGATTGGCAAAACGCTCCAACAAACGAGTTGTTCTTCCTCACCTTGAACCCTTGACTCGTTGTCGGGCCACAAGATTGACCACCTGTGGCCTTGATGTCCGATGCCCTCTTTATTAGCACATCGATCATATTATCTACTCCATAGTCAACAAGATCACGTTAGATACGCAACATCCTAGTCGAGATGCTAATCACTACTAGAAAACATATTTTTACCAACAGATGTTACCGACAAAATAGCAACACATAAGTAAACCGAAACTTAGCGATGAAATTTACCAATGCTTTCGCCGTCGCTAATTTTTAAAATCTGTCGTTAATTTATTGACCAGAATTGTTCTGAAGAATTTCATCCATCCGTATCAGAATGGGACATTAGCGACGGATTACTGATGGTCGGGTGATAGTTTATTTTCTGGTGCTATGATTTGTTGTACCTTGTGCATTATAAGTAGTGGAATTTGTGGTGGTGGAAGTGAACCAGTCCTCAAAGAACCTAGCAGCAGCACCCTTGTTGTCACCACTGATGAGTGTGTTGTCTTTGCTCATAGAGGTTCCATGAGTTGCAAACCAGGTGAAAGCACCGATGCTTCGTTGACTTGTACCATCGACAAACTTCACAAGCGTCATTAAGGTATCGACATCTCGTGGATATCGAGCTCTCTCGCCTGGAGGGTTAAACAAATATGCACTTGGGCTACGGTTCACTCCCGCATTATCCAAATCCCCTACAAAAACACTCATCCGTCATGATAAGTTTTCGCCACGCTTCTCTCACTGCCATGCCATATAATCCGACGGCTAAAATACTGTATGTAACAGATATCGGTTCTTTTAAAAAAGTAATCTAACAGGTTTCATGTATAATCACCTTTGTTGATGAAAATGGAACCAGAGTTGAGATTTTGATGGGCCTGAAGAATGCTCATTTCAATAGCTGTAACAATGGCATCAAAAGATTGAGGAACGAATCCAAGTGACGTCACAGAGTACAACACATACTGCAGATACCCTCCTGGACCAGCATGACTGTGGGTCCCACTTATGGCTACGTTATCTTCATTGTACAACTTCCCAAACCTACAATAAACCCAAAACATCGGTCATTAAAGGGCTCGAGTTTCTGTTGATGATTTGTATCACTAATATCATTTAAGGGTAATGAGATTAATTTGTTGACAGTATAATCATGATAAATATCGAACAAGTAAGAAAGGTGCAGAGTGTACATTTATTTGAGTTTATTTTGATTTAGGGGCGAAGCCCCTAAACGACGGGGTCCGGAGGCAGCGCCCCCGTGGCGGGGTCCAAGAGGCAGAGCCCCTGGCTGGGGTCGAATTTTAGAATTCCGAATTTTAGATTTTAAACCCGGTTTTTGGCCCGGTTTTTTAAACCCGGTTTAGGGTTCAAAAAACTGACGTTTTTGACAGTTTCCGGATTTTTCAAATTTTGAATTGGTCATTTTCGTCTTGAGAGGTACACAGATTCATAACGTTTTGGATTCTAAGTTCTGTCAGTCACTGAATTTTATCTGATTTAGATTTCGATTACCGTTGAAATACTTCAATCTGAAAGTGATTTACGACTTTCAGTGGAGATTCCAAGCAATTGAAAAACCAGAAGTTTCTAACAGTTTCGACAGTTTTCAAATCAACGTTTCTGTCTAATTGTACAACAAAACTTGACACCCAACACGTACCTTTTCGATAGCCTCTCGAGGACTTTGATGGTGACAAGTTGCGACGCCATGCCGGCGTCAAGATTGATGAACACGATCCTTGGGCCGTCTAAGCTCTCGGCTACGATAAACGCTCGTGCTCTAAGTCGGAAATGGATTCCGGCGGTGCTTTGGTCCAAATTTGCATACCCCATCATGTTGACTCCGGCAGCCGGTCCGGTGCTGTCGTAGCTTCCAACCCCGATCAAGTAATCTGCGGTTGCCGGAGACGTGAGAACATAGATGGTTAGAGTTAAAAGTAAGAAGGAAAAATGTTTTGGATACATGTTTGATTTATTTTGATGAAATTAGCATGAAATAATTTTTTTATATATAGGAATTGATTATGGTTATAATCGAATTAATGATGTTTCTTAGTGAACTAAGTATATTGTGTATTATAATTCTTAGGTTAAAACGAGTTTGTTAGGATTGAGGTGTTCGTTTTGTCTTGTATTTCTCAAACGTATTTGTTGTTTTTACGGCTATCTTTGTTTTATTGCAACAACTAGTATTAAAACAAATAGTTGGTGGGTAAAGATATGGGACTCTCATCGCGTGCCTGTTGAAGAATGAGTCGGCGACTCATAGGCAGTGGTTTGGTTAAGAAACCCATCGGAGCGGTAGCGAAAGCAAGCCTTCTTAATTAGGGTAACTGTCACTACTAATAGATTCGAACCTGGGTAATCTATCCAGTAGTAGGATGGAACTTGGGTGAAACCAAAGTGGAGGTTCGAACCAACTGATGTAGAAGAATCAATAGACGAGCTGTGGTTAGGGGTGAAATGCCACTCGAACCCAGAGCTAGTCGATTCTCCCCAAATGCGTTGAGGTGGAGTAGTTGACTGGACATCTAACGGTAAAATACTCTTTCGTTGTGGGGCCACGAGAGCGGTAACAAATCGAGACAAACTACGAATACTAGATATATACCTCAAACTAACAAGGGTCAAAATAGGACAGTGGAACGATGGGTATAAGCTTCTCTTTGGCAAAATCTAACCCTCCTTGTTAAACCTCGATAAACATTTTACTTACTTTATTTGTATATTGTTTTACCATCTAATGGTCCAAATTAATACATCTGATTAGTCGATGTCCTTTGTACGAGTGAATCTTTTGTGATAAGTTATTCGCCACATCAAATCAAGAATTTGAAGAAAAATTCGTGAATGATGTGACAGAATAGACACGTCTTTTCATTTAGATATTGACATGTCTTTTCACCTAAATACGATAAGGCTGTATTTCTGTCAGATGTTACTGTATGCATATTATTTATATCAGAATCAAATCAAATCAAATCATGTCTTTAATGATAACATATAAACATATCATAACCCAAAGACATCAAATGTTTACAAACAAAATACATTCTATACAATACAAATCCGGGTATGAACTTATAATTCAACAACACCACAATACAAATTCCAACCAAATAACATGAAAAAATCACTTATTCAGAAACAAAAACCCAAAAGCAAGAAACCATGATTCATAATACATAGAGTCCCACTCCTTTAACCAAAGCAAAGCAACCCGACCCACATACCATTTTTGCTTTCACTTTCACTTTCACTTTCACTTAATCACACTCCTTTACCTTTTCCTTTTCCTTCTCTTCTTCACTCTTTGAATGATACCCTGGAATTTTCTCTTTTATCTTCTCCAATATACCCTTTTTCTCCGGTTCTTCTTCATGTGCCACCACCGCCGGAGCTACTGGCGTTGGTGGTGGAGGAGCAACCTGCTCCTCCACCGGCTTCTTGTGGCCGCCGGGAAGTTTTTCCTTTATCCTTTCCATGATCCCCTTTTTCTCCTCTGCCTCGGGAGTGGAAGTGGGATCATGGTGGACAACGTCGGTGGGCGTGTGGTGGCCAACATCGGTGTTGTATGGTGGTGGCGCCACCGCCACTTCTTCTTCGTATTTCTCGATTGGGACACAGCTGTCGTCCTCGAGTTTCTTGACTGCTTCCTCTTCTTCTTTCCGTTCTTTGCGTTCTTCTATCTTCTCCTTCAGCTGCTCCGTCAATGGCTTCTTCTTCTTCTTCTTCTTCTTCTCTCCATCCTCGCATTCTTCATCATCACTTGACTGCAATTCAATTAATCCAAAACAGTTTTAATTGCAATGTATTATTACAGATCCATGCATGATGTATGATCAAGAAAAAGAATCACCCTTAATTTCTTGTAGAAAAAAAAACTCAAATCAGCAAGCAAATGCATACTTACAACTTACGATTTCGTCTGATTTTAATATATAAAAACTATAATTTAGTTCTGATTCAATGGAATCTTGGCGTAGTTTCTGGAGTGGGAATTCAAACTTACACTGCTGGAACCGCTATGTGATATATGCATTTTCTGGAACAAAGTTTCATGTTGTTCCTCGGATTTGGGTTCCGGTTCAGAAACATCGACTTTCTGTTCAAACTCCGATGAGATCGCCGTCTCTTCGCACTTGTTCTCTTCCTCCTTCTTCTTTCCCAAGAAATCAAACAAGCCACGATCCTCCTTGTCGACGGTCTCCGACGTTGGCTCCACCTTCACGGGGGCGGTGGTTTGGTCGTACTCTTGGGTTTTGGGGGCGTCGTGGTAAACTGCTTCGTCAGACATGACTGAATGATTTCAGATGATAATGAAGCGAAGAAATTAAGGTTGTTTGATGAGAAAAGAGGGGTTTGAAATTGATGGTGTGATTGAAGAAGTTGTGAGGGGTTTGAATTTATAGGAGCATGGGATACGAGAGGATTCGTGAGGGGTCGGTTTTGTTTTAAGCCGTTAATTATCAAAAACTAAATTCAAGATTATCGTCATGGTTCGTTGAAACAATTTTAAAATTATCGGATTGTTATCATGGTTAAAAGAAAAGGAAAATTGTATCAAAATGGAATCGACTTTCACTTGATTTTTATTTTGAGAAATCAATTTTCAAAATTGTCATTTAGGGGTCTCTATCAAACCTTTTGTTTATTTAAGGATCTAGTTGATAAATTTGACCTGTTAATACTGACATCATCCATATTTTTTGCCAATTAAGATATTTCACGTCATATTAATTTTTTATTTTAAAACTAATATTCCACATCATATTTAAAATTGCAAAATAATTATAGAAAAATAACTAAAATTCGTTTTTTTTTTCAAAAATTATTGTAATAAAATCTATTTTTCATTCCAAATCTCATTTTTTTTTTAAAAAATTCAGATATCAAATTGAAGATTTTTCCAAAAATGGACTTCTTTATTCACAATTTGATATATGATTTAAAAAAAAACGAGATTTGGAATGAAAATATATTTTAATAAAATAAATTTTGAAAAAAAAACAAATTTTAGTTATTTTTCTATAATTATTTTGCAATTTTAAATATGATGTAAAATATTAGTTTTAAAATAAAAACTTAATATGACGTAGAATATCTTAGTTGACAAAAGATCTGAATGATGTCAGCATTAACAGGTTAACATGTCAACTAGACCCTTAAATAAACAAAATTTTTGATAGAGACCCCTAAATGACAATTTTGAAAGTTGGTTCCCCAAAATAGGAATTAAGTGAAGTTGTTTCCATTTTGATGCAATTTTCCCTTGGAAAAAATCATCGGGTTTAGTCCTTTCGTCCAACAAGTCATAAAAATTTCCGTTAAATGAAGAACATTTTTATAAACCATGATGATCATCTTGTAATTTATTTTGAAACCGTAGCATATCAAAATGAAAATTGTTATATTTTTATAAACCATATGAACCAAATTTATAGTTACATGATTGTAGATTATAAAAGAAAAGAATATTTTTTAAGTAAACTTGAGTTTTGGGATTCAGTTACGTGCATCGACTAATCGATCGACGGCCACATTTTGATTGCTCTTTACTTTATTTGGAGTCATTGTAATAATCACGTTTTTTTCTTACGAGACTAATATCCAAATCGACCGTCTTTATACGTTCCAACAACTATCGTTTCAATGGATCTTTAAGATTTCAAGATATCGTGGAAGGACAGTGTGGAGGACAAGGGATGGACAGATAGGTAGACACTTCTTCAAGTTCATTGTTTCCGAGTTTACCGAGTGCACTAGCTTCACCTTCCCGAGTTTGTGTTGTTTCTTGTCGTTCTTTAGTTTTGGTTTTCCTGTTGTAGTCCTTTCGGCTCTTGTTTTTTGTGTAGTTGTTTTTGAATGTGTCTTTCTATATTTTGCAGAAAGTTTTTCCTCATCTTTTTTCTTGTTTTCGATCGTAATAAAATTGTTACCTTTCGTAAAAAAAAACCTTTTAAACTTAAAATTAAAGTTATATTATATTTAAGAAAAAAATCAAATTAAACTAATAAAGTAAAATAAGTTGTAACTATACATGAATTTGTTTATTGGAAGATTAAAATGCAAATATTGTTATTAATTAATATACTTTTAATTACTTAATAATAATATGGTAATTATAGTAATAAATTGCAAAATTAAAATATTAAGTACATAACTCAAAATTATTAATATCTTTTGGTCCCGTTTACAAAATTCTAGTAAGCAAGTTGATAGGACTGTGATTGATTACGACTTTTTTAATTGTTTATTTAATTTTGTATATATTTTATAAATAATAAATTCAAAAGGTACTAGACGTTATCTTAAATATTTAAAATCAAATAAATATAAACAACGATTAGATGGTGCATGTGGTATGTGTTTTCCTTACTATCTTAACATAATTAAGACAAATATTTTTAACTCGGTTAATTTGGAAAGTATTTTTGTCTTTTAGCCTATTAATCATAATGAAAGTTGTAAAGAGTCGTATGCACTCCATGATGGTGATCATACATGTCAAGCAAAGTTGTCGCAAGAAGTTGCAATTGTGTATCGTATGCTGATATGCTCCAACAGTATATTAAGTTATGGTTAAAAATAAAATATGTTGTTATTTAATTAGATCCAGAATACGTACATTAGTGCTAGTGACGCATCAACGTATCTAAGTCCATCACCAGTCGCACATCAAATCAACCCTAATTTTAATGTTATTTACGTCAGCTAAACAATATCAATAGTGACATCCATAAAACAAAATAATTAGTAAACACAAATGATTTCAATCATCCTATATGTCGTGTTGTCCTTCTTGCTTAGCTGGTGTCTGGTACAATACCAATCGACATTTACCAAATGAAATAAGTTTGTACAAATTAAGTTTATGGCAAATAAAGTTAATATATGATTCAATTATAATTGACATACATAATAAAATGGGGGTGAGTTAAATGCATCTCTATATATTGTTAAATGCACCAGTGTCTACTAATCTTTTCCTCACACACATCAACATCAAAATTACTTTTTACATTATCAATACATGATTTAACATAATTTTTGATATGAAAAGAGATGCAAATAACATAACATTATAAAAAAAACGATGCCGCACCACATGAACAGACCCAAGTGGTGCATATGGTGGCATTGCTCATAGCTTCGTTTATCCGTTTTAGTGTAAAAAAATTATAGGATTGTGAAAAGTGTCACCATATCAATTTGTTATATATTATCGTAGATATTTTGAAACTACAATAAATACATATGTTTTTTTTCTTTGTTAGTGTTGATTTGCTAGATTTTTCTAAAACATACGAATAAAAGCGTGTATGAAAAATTGATTTGGTCGAAATAAAGTTTGCAATGCTTAATGATGAAGTGATGCCGTAAGGAAGGAGTCGACTGGGGTAAGGCATAAAAGCAGGAGAGAGACACGCTGTAATGCGTTTAACCCACCTATCCACTCACGTTCTGCCACGTGGGACGAGAACATGGATGGTTGTACGAGGAGTGGGTCCCATGTCTATGTCGATAACCAGGCCTAACAAGCAACTGGCACAGTACCAAACCTACACGTGGCATTTAATTATGGGTTGCCGACCTTCCTTTGAGTACAATCATACGACGTCGTGGTGTTTTTATTTGTGGTGGTACATGAATCCCGAAATACGTGGCGATTGTCTTATAGCAAGGTGGGCCCGTGATTTGTAGGGACATGGTCGGTTTGACTAACTTGACGTGTCCCCTTTTAAAACATGAAATATCCGTATCCTCACGTGTCTTGTGGGGTCTCTTCTCACGTGACACTGACTCCATACATAACCACATCATGGAAAGGACCACCAGTACCACCATCGTTTTTGACAATTAGGATTTTTTTAGTTAATAATGTAGTAATTCTTGTTAATTGTCGAATGATTTGTTGTAGAATGATTAAGTGGTTAGAATGATTAAAAGATTATCATGATATAGTGTAAAATAAATTATATTAGTTTGGTAATTGTGTACAATAAAATTATGGCTCTTAATGGTTAAGGGGGATCCATGATACAAAATCATTCAGAGGGTTTTAGAACCATTAAGAGACAAATTTTTTTTTTTGCCAAACAAGACTCACCTCTTAACAATTCAGAGGTTGCCTCTTAATGAAACTATTAAGAGATAAACAAACAACCCCTAAGTTAACAACTTCTATAAGAAATTAATCAGTTTTTAGGTAAATTATAATGACCAAAAATGTAATTTATTTGTTTTAAAATTAATTACAACTCATATTTTTTTTTTTGAAATAGTTTCTGTTAAGCGATAATACATGAAAGACAGATAAATTGTTAGTTTGAATTGAAACGAAACGAAACAAATAGAATCATAACATGTTTGTGGAATCAAATAGGGAAAACGTAAATAATATTCACCTCGTGAATTAATAGGACTCTTCCAATGTTATTCTCACAATGCTTTGTTTTTAGAGATTCCATTACTTTTTTTTATTTATCATGAGACAACTATGTACATGTTATAATTAAATAATATATGATGTTAGCATGTAAATTATATATATTATGTTAACGTGACGTTGCAGGTACGAGAGTAATATGTACTATACATTACATGACTTGTAATATAATAACTGAACTGAAAGTACGTGATATAATGATGAATTAATATTTTAAAAGAAACAGTCATTTTAACATTTAAAGTAGATAACATGTTTGTGTATGTCGTATCTCTCCGTCTCCTATACCTTATTTCTAATGGCATATACGGGGTTTGGTTGGATTGTTGGGATGGTTAGGTTTAGTAATAACGGTAAATAGTGAAACACATACTATCATAATTAAAATAACGGGATTTGAGTCTGTAGTTCAAAAATATTATTCAAGGGTTTATAATATGAAAAATGTCTTAATTGGGAAATATATAATTCCAAAATATATAGACCATTCAATATACATTTTTAAAAACGATAGACTAGATAAAAAGATTTCAAAGGATATTCTCTTACTTAAATGTTCATTTTAAATATAATCCACGAAAATGGTAATTGAATAAACATTGCTTCTTTATTTGCGCAATTTACCCTAATAATAACAAAAGTATTTGACTAAATACAATAAGAACGTTGCAGTTTGAAATTTGTGTATGAAACGATAGAAAATTATACCAATTTAGGAAATTGCATTGTCGATATGAGGCAAGATTCGTCGTATACCAGTTACTGTTGTCTGCCATTATGTTGCGAGTCTATTGGTATTTAAATTGAGTGGCAGTGATCATTAAATGTATGTAATCGGTAGTCAAACACCGTGTTGTGGAAGTGTAAAGACAATCAATCAATCTAGCTTATGGCTTGTTTAAGTGACTAGTGAATGAAAATCTTATATAT